ATGGTGAAGGCAACCCAAAAGGATCATGCTCATAATCGGGTCAAGTACATACCAAAATAGTTATGGACTTAAACATTAATCCAACAATAACCACCTTCCGTGCAATTAAAACAAACACGCTTACGTTTCCTCCGTTTTCTCTTTCTTGACGCTTTAGTTCTACTCTAGATCCTTTATCACTTCACCTACTTGATGAAAAGTAGTAAATCCGGACAGGTTAATGAACTCACAAATTGGAGTTTCAACCCCCACGTATATCTAATATCTATCTTTTTTTCTTGGTTCAACATCAACATGATGTTTTGCAAATCGTGTTTTTTAGGAATTAAACAGTGTATTTTTAGGAATTAAACAGTGTATTGTTGCACTGTCTTAGATTCTTGTTACAAATGCATAAATTCGTGGTAGATGATAGGAGAATTAGTCAATACTTATCCAAGGGTTTTCTTGGCATTTGTCCTATATTTTATTGGCATACTCTCAAACAATTTGAGACATGTCCTTTATTTTATTGTGATATCTTTGCGCTTGGGGCAATGACGCAGCTAATGAGCTAATTGGCATCCTCTCAAACAAACATTTTTAAAGGACATGTCTCCCTCGTTTCTCCTGCTACGAGCAGCTATCACAATACGTCACATACAAACCGTTTACTTTGATAATGACAAAATTGCATTGTTCTACTGTTCATCCATCATCAACATATTCCCCTATCCAATCAATAATTTCCATCCCCTTTTCTTTCATTTTGATTCGTTCCCAAATCACATTACCAATCGATTCTTCATACCATGGAAATTGATCAAGTGGAGGAAAACCCTAACTGGCTTTTCGATTATGGATTGATGGATGATATCTCCGCCGCTGACTTCACCGCTCCGCCACCGTCCGCCGTTGGTTTTACCTGGCCTTCGCCGGCCATCACCTGCTCAGCATCAGTACCTGCTGTAAGGTTAGTCGTGTGTGTTTTTTTTTTCTGAGTAAATATTTCATGATTTCACACTAGTTGTTACACGAATTTGGGTCAAATTAGAGTGTATGAATCAAGGTAGATGTTATTTTTAGCAAAAATTCTAAACATTTTTGAAATTTTTTTTACTAAAAGACATAATATGATTTAGACATCACTTTGAAAAAGGAGAATTGAATCCTGTGATGGTTCTTTTGTTCATCAGGTGTCACAATCTGGTCCTTTTGCTTGACTGAAGTTTCTATCATCAACATAAATTAACATGATAACGAAATTTTCTTGCAATTTACTTCACAAATTCATATAAAAAGTTGAAATTTATGAATGATGTTTCAAAAAAATTTGTGCAAATGAAATAAATAATAATAATAATAATAATAATAATAATAATAATAATAATAAATGAAGGCAATTTTGTGAACATTTAGGACTTGATGTGAAAGTTTGATTTTCGTTGTCAAGTCAATCTTTCTGTATTAAATCAAAAGAAACACTCGAATATAACATACCTGACTAAATTAAAGTAAAAGATAGAGGATTATAACTTATAATTTGTAAATTGATGAAAATGAAATTGGATTTCAATTATTATTTAGTTTGAAATTCATAAATTGATTGCTATTGGTTGTTTACACAGCGTTGAGATTGAAAGCTCATTTATCGATTTTGAAGGCTTTAAAGGGACAGCATCACGCAAACGGTATATATTCTTTTGTACTTAATGTAGAAAAAAAAAACAAAAAACAAAAAACAACTCAACACATAACTCCCAACTTTTTACAAATTTCCCTCATTTATTTTCTTCCCAAATTGCTTCATTTTTCAAATATTTTTTAAACATCATCTATACAATGCTTTATGCAGGTTAAAGTCTGAATCTTGCAGCAATGTTTATGGGTCGAAAGCAGGACGTGAGAAATTGCGTAGAGATAGGATGAATGAGAGGTATAATTTAAAAATCATTTGAAATATTAGATTTTCAGGTTATAATTTTGAATTTTGTAATATTATAATTTAAAAATCATTTGAAAAAGGTTCTTGGAATTGGGTTCGATTCTTGATCCTGGAAGGCCACCGAAAACGGATAAGACTGCACTCTTGAACGATGCTATTCGAATGATAACACAGCTTCGAAATGAAACGGAGAGGCTTAATGAGTCAAATGTTGATTTGCAGGAAAAAATTAAGGAATTAAAGGTGGGTCCCTTATTTAGGTGTTTTATAAATTATAAGTATTGTTTCATTAGGACTAGATAAAATAGGTTGCGTTGTGTTTGGTGTTTCGTCTGTATTGGACTGGGACAGACGTCGATGAGACAATTTTTTGTCCCATCCAAAAAGATGGAACACGGTGGGACGTGGACTCGCTCTTGATCTCTCGTCTGTGCAAAAAAGACGTAAATGCCCTTTTCATCCTCATCATTGAAAATATCCCTAGAAAGCTTGTCCAGTCCGATGGAACAAACACAGGCATAGCCTGTGTTGTGTTTGATACACGGGACAAGCTTTCTAGGGATATTTTCAATGATGAGGATGAAAAGGGCATTTACGTCTTTTTTGTACAGACGAGAGATCAAGAGCGAGTCCACGTCCCACCGTGTTCCATCTTTTTGGATGGGACAAAAAATTGTCTCATCGACGTCTGTCCCAGTCCAATACACTCCAAACACAGTATAACCAATTCCTACTTGTGATTCTTAAATGACTTATTTTGAATTTGTTTTAAAATGATTAATTAGGCTGAGAAGATCGAACTCCGTGATGAAAAGCAGAGGCTAAAAGCGGATAAAGAGAAGCTCGAACAACGAGTCAAATCCATGAGCGGTCAACCTGGCGGCTATCTGACACATCACACCGCCATGCGGGCGGCATTTGCCGCCCAAGGGCAAGCTTCCGGAAACAAATTGATGCCGTTTGTTGGTTACCCTAGTGTCGGTATGTGGCAGTTCATGCCATCTTCGGTGGTCGACACCTCACAGGATCACGTCCTTCGACCTCCAGTCGCGTAATTCATCTGACCTTTCTGGTTTGTTTTTTTTCTTCCATCTTGATTATGTATTATAAAATGATGACGATGATGATGATGATGATCATACACTTTGTTATTGTTCTTGAATTTTTGTGTGGTTTGAAAAGGTTTGTGAAGGAAGAATGTGTACGAATTGGCGATAGAATTCGCCCTTCTTGCTGTCTTGATGTAATATATATTTAAATTACTGTTTGATTTGGGAAATAAAATCATAACTGTGACTATGGAATACGAATATATATATTATTTATTGTTTTAGAGAATATAAAATTTGGCAGAAGAATCGTCATTGGTTGGTTATATTAGAAATGGTTAGATGTAAGAAACATCAATGTATTTTAATTTATTTGTTTATTGTAGCATCATTTTCTCTTTTCTTTCTATTAATTACAACAGTGTATATAGAAAGCTAACCAAATATATTGATTATCAAAATCAAAATACAAAGCAATTTTCATTGTTATAATTAATTAGGAAAAATAAAATAGAAGTACAATGCTATAGGTAGGTAGAAATTTTTTTAAAGACAATGTATGTC